ACGCAATGCCCTCGTTTGGGTGTAGGGACTGATCAGAGCCTGAAGGTACGGAGGTGCCGTTCCCCTCACAGCTCCGTAGGCAAGCACCATGGTCTTGTTGCAGAATCGAGCTTCAACTGGAAGCCAGTGGAGTGTGCGGAGGAGCGGGGTAACATGAGAGAACTTGGGAAGGTTGAACACCAGACGGGCTACGGCGTTCTGGATGAGTTGTAGGGGTTTAATGGCACAGACAGGGAGCCCAGCCAACAGCGAGTTGCAGTAATCCAGACGGGAGATGACAAGTGCCTGGATTAGGACCTGTGCCGCTTCCTGTGTAAGGCAGGGTCGTACTCTGCGAATGTTGTAGAGCATTAACCTACAGGATCGGGTCACCACCTTGATGTTAGCGGGGAATGACAGGGTGTTGTCCAGGGTCACGCCAAGGCTCTTTGCACTCTAGGAGGAGGACACAACGGAGTTGTCAACCGTGATGGCGAGATCATGGAACGGGTAGTCCTTCCCCGGGAGGAAGAGCAGCTCCGTCTTGCCGAGGTTCAGCTTGAGGTGGTGATCCGTCATCCACACTGATATGTCTGCCAGACATGCAGAGATGTGATTCGCCACCTGGTTATCAGAAGGAAAGGAGAAGATTAATTGTGTGTCGTCTGCGTAGCAATGATAGGAGAGGCCATGTGAGGATATGACAGAGCCAAGTGACTTGGTGTATAGCGAGAATAGGAGAGGGCCTAGAACTGAGCCCTGGGGGACACCAGTGGTGAGAGCACGTGGTGCGGAGACAGCTTCTCGCCACGCCACCTGGTAGGAGCGACCTGTCAGGTAGGACGCAATCCAAGAGTGAGCCGCGCCGGAGATGCCCAACTCGGAGAGGGTGGAGAGGAGGATCTGATGGTTCACAGTATTAAAGGCAGCTGATAGGTCTAGAAGGACGAGAGCAGAGGAGAGAGAGTTAGCTTTAGCAGTGCGGAGAGCCTCCGTGACACAGAGAAGAGCAGTCTCAGTTGAATGACCAGTCTTGAAACCTGACTGGTTTGGATCAAGAAGGTCATTCTGAGAGAGATAGCAAGAGAGTTGGCTAAAGACGGCACGCTCAAGAGTTTTGGAGAGAAAAGAAAGAAGGGATACTGGTCTGTAGTTGTTGACATCGGAGGGATCGAGTGTAGGTTTTTTGAGAAGGGGTGCAACTCTCGCTCTCTTGAAGATGGAAGGGACGTAGCCAGCGGTCAAGGATGAGTTGATGAGCGAGGTGAGGTAAGTGAGAAGGTCTCCGGAAATGGTCTGGAGAAGAGAGGAGGGGATAGGGTCAAGCGGGCAGGTTGTTGGGCGGCCGGTCGCAAGATTTCATCTGGAGAGAGAGGGGAGAAAGAAGTCAAAGCATAGGGTAGGGTAGTGTGAGCAGGACCAGCGGTGTCATTTGACTTAACAAACGAGGATCGGATGTCGTCAACCTTCTTTTCAAAATGGTTGACGAAGTCATCCACAGAGAGGGGGGGGGGGGGGGGGGGGGGATTGAGCAGAGAGAAGAGATGATAGGATGGAAGAGGAGAGAGTAGCGGGAGAGAGAGAGCGAAGGTTGCACGGCGCATTACCATCTGAGTAGGGGCAGAGTGAGTAGTGTTGGAGGAGAGCGAGAGAGAAAAGGATACAAAGTAGTGGTCGGAGACTTGGAAGGGAGTTGCAGTGAGATTAGTAGAAGAACAGCATCTAGTAAAGATGAGGTCAAGCGTATTGCCTGCCTTGTGAGTAGGGGGGGACGGTGAGAGGGTGAGGTCAAAAGAGGAGAGGAGTGGAAAGAATGAGGCAGAGAGAAATGAGTCAAAAGTAGACGTAGGGAGGTTAAAGTCACCCAGAACTGTGAGGGGTGAGCCATCCTCAGGAAAGGAACTTATCAAGGCATCAAGCTCATTGATGAACTCTCCAAGGGAACCTGGAGGGCGATAAATGATAAGGATGTTAAGCTTGAATGGGCTAGTGACTGTGACAGCATGGAATTCAAATGAGGAGATAGACAGATGGGTCAGGGGAGAAAGAGAGAATGTCCACTTGGGAGAGATGAGGATTCCTGTGCCACCACCCTGCTGACCAGATGCTCTCGGGGTATGCGAGAACACATGGTCAGACGAGGAGAGAGCAGTAGGAGTAGCAGTGTTTTCTGTGGTAATCCATGTTTCCGTCAGCGCCAAGAAGTCGAGGGACTGGAGGGTAGCATAGGCTGAGATGAACTCTGCCTTGTTGGCCGCAGAACGGCAGTTCCAGAGGCTGCCGGAGACCTGGAACTCCACGTGGGTCGTGTGTGCAGGGACCACCAGGTTAGAGTGGCAGTAGCCACGCGGTGTGAGGTGTTTGTATAGCCTGTGCGGAGAGGAGAGAACAGGGATAGACAGACGCATAGTTGACAGACTACAGAAAATGGCTACAATAATGCAAAGGAGATCGGAATTAAATGAACTAATCATCTGGGAAAGCGAGAGAGCGGGGCCTCCCTCACTTACGTTTCACTGAAACACTCAAATATAACTCTCCCAACTTCCACTTTAGAAATTATAATTGTTGTAAACTACAGCGGTTCAATGTTTTCTAGGAATAGACTAACCTTGTTTATTCAGGAAGCTAACTTGGTACAGTATTCTTCTGTGAAAACCGTCCAGGGCACCGAATCCTTTGACGCCATAGCCAACTAGCATGCCAGGCTCCAATAACACGGTTTAGCACCAATACTCGGTTACAACAAACCACCAGTGTGTTAACACGCCAAGCAGATCATTCGTGTCGGTGTCTAACGTTGTGTAAAGTTTTGGGTTAGTTAGCTAGAAAAGTTAGCATACTAGCTAGCCATTGCTCTCTGCCAACGAAAAAAAAGATTATCCTCCCATGGCCCAAACACACAGAGAGAGCCAAGCTAACGTTAACTAGTCACCCATGTCCCGAATTCCCTTGAACGACTCTGGTTACCAGTATGTAAAAACAAAACACAAATGTAGGTTATAACTTACCCTTAGTAGCTACTGTTAGCCAGTTAAGTGCAAAGCTAGCCACTGAATCGATTCAGCCAGTTCGCGTCTGTTCGCTAGGTCGTTCCAGCTATTGTCTAGTTAGCTATCCAGGTAGCAACAAGCTAGCTACATTTCGAGTACAGTAGCTACTAACTACCTAACGTTAACTCTTCAGATAATGAGGTTAGAAAAACTGCTGAATGGTAGGCAGCTAGCTGGCATAATTACAGGTACTCTTAAGTGTGAAATAACATTGGAAACAACTATCCACAGTTGCTAATAGTTACCAGTAGCTACCCGCTAGCTAGCTAGCTTTATTGGTCCAGGTAGTGGGTTAGCTAGCCTCGTGCTTCACCGGGCTCAGTCGAATACAATACTTACCTACAATAATTACCTACAATACCTAACTATAATCTAAATACATGGTTTAAGCTTTACTCGACACCATATAAGCCAAGCTTACCACCCGCCAGAGAGAGACACAACCGCACCCGACGACCTTCAGCTGCTTGTAAGTAAGCATTTCACAGTAAGGTCTACACCTGTTGTATTCGGCACATGTGACAAATACAAATTTATTTATTTTGAATAGAATAGATGGAGCGGAGTCAAATGTGGTTTCCACATTTGATCTGTTTGATACTGTTACATTTATTCCATTCCAGCCATTACAATGAGCCCGTCCTCCTATAGCTCCTCCCACCAGCCTCCACTGGTGTGGCCCAACGCCTCACCTCTTTCATAAAACGTAATGTCACTGAAATGTCTCCAAAAAAGAACGACAATTTATGGCAGTAGAGTGAAGGCTTACACTGCACTCTTGTGGCGAAAATATGCCACTTCAGAAATGCAACGGAAATTACGTCACGAACGAAGCTGTCCTTCTGTAAACATGGCGTCCGTAACAACAGGTGAGTGACATAAAAGGGCCCAGATACCGTGGAAGATCGCTTAAAAAGACTCAAACATTTAATTGTTACCAATTATTCTTAGGATACTGAGTAAGGATGTTAACTTAGTTCTCTGTATGTCTACCTAGCTAGCATAGTGTGTGTACGGTCTCAGTGCCGACTGGAATGTAGCTAGCTAGATAACGTTAGCTATTCAAAATTGCTCGTGCATCATTATTGTTTGTAGTTTTTTACCACGAACATACGTGGGACTGATTACTAGTTTATCATTGGCGCCACCGAGTTGACTGATAGCTAACATTTAAATTCACTTTAACTAGCTACTGTTAACTTGGCTAACTAGCAAGTCAACTAGTAGAAGCTAGCCCACAGCCACACACTACACATGTAGCGTACTAACGTTAGCGTGCTGCAGGGGAGATCGCAAGTCTAACAACTACCGAAAGGTCGCCTTGTTTCATTATCATACGTTTCGTGCAGGCCATCGTGAAATTAAACCTAGACTGATTACGGTTGGTTAACTAGTTTAGTTAGCAAGTTACTTTAAGTGTTCGAGACGAGTAGCCCACACACTGCAACCTGGGCCCTTTAGCTAATGTTGGGACTGACTTTAGCTGCCTGTTGTCTCTCCCTCTAGTTAGCTAACCAGAGACCACTCAGTTTAATGCAAAACACATTTTGTTGTGCCTGATACTGTAAAATGAAGTCCTTTACACCTCACTGACCCGCTTTGACGGCAAACGTATCGTTCTAGTGGAAACACTGCCAATATCAAATGTGTCTATGAACCCCAGTGGAATTTCGCCCCATCATGGTTTTATAAATAACACCCAGCTGGCTGGTCGAGCATGTGTTTTATGACTTCAGCACGCTGTCCTCACTGTAGATAGAGCTAGCCTAATAGGATGGCTTTGAATTTTTACTTTGAAGGTCAATACGTTTGATGGCTTTTAGTATTGCCGTTGAAAAATAAGTTGGTCAAAATACGTTTTAAGATCATAACTTTTGTAATATAGCTCTTAAAAGTTAAGATACTTGTAAACACTTCAGCAATTAAAGTCAAGGTGTTTGATTTTATCAGTTACTTGAGGTGTTTTTGATGCTCCTCCCTCTCTTTTCAGCCACCTCGGAGTGGATCCAGTTCTTCAAAGATGCTGGGATCCCTGCTGGTCTGGCTGTCAACTACGCCGTGTCTTTTGTGGACAACAGGTAATAAAGGCCGTCTTAACTCCTTGGCCTGGAACAGTTCACTACAAAATGAAAAATTGTCAGACATTTTCATTTTATTATTGGTCCCGTGTAGCTCATTTGGTAGAGCATGGCACTTGCAATGCCAGGGCTGTGGGTTTGATTCCCATGGGGGACCAGAACGAACAAATATGAAAATGTATGCACTCACTACTGTAAGTCGCTCTGGATAAGAGCGTCTGCTAAATTACTAAAATGTAAAATGATTTGTATTGAAGTCATGAATAATTTCCATTAATTTAGAATACATTCTCGTCCATTCTTCTATTAGTAGGAATTACATTTATCTCGCTCTCCCCCCTCTCTCTCTCAATCTCTCTGCAGGATCCAGAAGAACATGCTGATGGACCTCAGTAAGGAGATCATGATGGACCTGGGCATCACTGTCATCGGTGACATTATTGCCATCCTCAAACATGCCAAACAGGTCTACCGACAGGTAAGGAGAAGGATTATGTAGAGCATGCTCTTATTCAGAGCCACTGGGAATGCCTTGAAGATCGACCAGTCTATCGTGATCGACAGGTTGGTAGACCACCGGTCTAGAGAAATGATGGGCTGAAAGATACCATCACTTCCTGTTGCGTCATTAATTTAAAGAGCTTTCAGCACATGCTGGGAGCACTTCCTCCAATGCAGCACTACAAGTCATGCGAGAGAGATATGGTGCTTTGGCTTAAGACTTGCTGTTTTTAATGCAGTTCTGACAGCAGTTACTCCAGTGCTGCCTCTCTCCCCCCTCCCCTTCCCCTCTCCAGGACATGTGCAAAATGGCCACACAGGCCATAACCTCAGGACAGTCCAGCGTTCAGACCGAACTCCGAAGAACTGCCAACACCCGTGAGTATTTTGATTCAAAACAATGAACCGTTATGAATTTCATACCAGTGATTTGCCTTCTATGTAGCGCCTTTCTCAAAGTGCTTAACAGTGTATGACAATAAGTCACCCCTTCCACCACCAATGAGTAGCAGCACCCACTTGGGTAACGCATGGGAGCCATTCTGTGCCAGAATCCTCAGCATATGTTTATAATCCGCCTGTTTCTCTGCAGCCGCCACACGTATGATTGCCAACGCCTTGAGCCGCGACTCACCGCCAAGCACACCAGCCCATCACCCTGACAACCGGGCAATCTCTGTGACAGTGTCCAACAAACAGGCCAAGAGTGGTAAAGCAGGTAGCTACCCCCCTCTTCCACTCTGTGTGGACTGGCCTTCTCTCGAAAACTCCCTAGCGTAGATGTGTCATATTGACTCTCTCCGTCTCCCTCCCGCAATATCTCACTATTTTTCTTCTCTGCCTCTTCTCTCTCTCCATCCTTTCTGTCTGTTTCCCAGTGCTGAGCCGGCCTGCTGACGAGGGGAACGGTCTGCCAGTGAAGCGTCGGCGCGTGACTGCAGAGATGGAAGGCAAGTACATCATCAACATGCCCAAAGGCACCACGGCACGCACCGCCCGAATCCTGGCCCAGCAGGCCAAGAAAGGTAGGGCCTTACCTTCTGGCCAGGGTGAACCAAGGAGACTAATCATTCAACACCCTTTAATGCTCATCCCACTAATATTATGGACTGACGCGTCGAAAGTAAATGGGGCTTGGAATGTCTATCTCTTACCATGATAATATGATGGCCCCTATCCCTCACTAGAACACCCCCCCCCCCCCCCCCCCCCCCCAAACACCATCCCACTCTTTCTGTGTGTCTCTTTCAATTTCTGTGTGTGACAGTATATTTCTCTTTTCAACTCTGTATCTCTCTTACCTATAAAAAGGGAACAAGCGGATGTCTGTGTTTGAGCGACTTGGAGCCGAGTCCAAGGCAGATACCACCACGGGTAGCAGCAAGGTGAGCCCTCTCTTTTGACACGTTACATGGGTGTCTGTGAGTGACGTTGCACGTTAGTTAGGGCATGGCTTCTGCTCTCATGGCCCGTCTCTCTCCAGGCCACGGGTGTGTTCAGTCGTCTGGGCCGAGCAGACGGATCGGAGGAGGAGCAGGGAACAGCAGGAAGGGTTGATGTAGATGAGGAGGAGGAGGAGGAGGAGGAGGAGGATGATAGTGATGGAGAAGGTTCGGTCCTACAGTACGCTGGCGTCCTCAAGCGACTCCCACCCTCCCAGAAGAAAGAGCCTGTGGCCCCCAAGCTGGCCACCACCACCCTTCGCCGCCTAGGAGGGAAATTCAAACCCCCCCCCACTGACTCTCCCTCCTCCTCCTCTTCCTCCACCGATGGCCTCCCCCCTGCCAAGCTCAGCGTGCTTCAGAGACTGGGCAAGCCCCCTGCCTCCCCAACGCCCGCCGACACCCAGGACAGCCTGGTGACCAGCACCAGAAATAAGGCCCGGCCAGGCCTGGCCCTGGCCAGCCCCAAGGTCAGCAGCAGCACCAGGGCTGGAGGAGGGGAGAGTTTTGGGGCTCAGATGGACGTAGGGTCGGTCAATGTCTTTAAGAGACTGGGCAGCAGGAGGACCTAACACATATCAGGCCATGTCTAGACCTATACAGTACCTTTTTATTATGTTATATTATCCCCTCTACCTGCTGGAGTCATGAAAAGCATTGTAGAGGTTATAGAGGTTTGAGATGACCACTGCAATTAGCCTGGGTGAATTAAAAGTTTGAATGTTGCATCAGGTTTTTAGGGAATGTTTTGAAAGGTAAGTTTAGTTTCTATAGTCATGAATTGACCCATCCGAGCTAGCTATATTTTTAGGTTAGACAGATACAGACAAAATATAGTCACGCATGGTGCCATATTCAAACTGCATTTTCTCCACACTACTGCTCCAAGGCGTTTAAACCCTCTGTACCCATCTCCAGCTTTTTAGTTATATTATTTTATTCTGTTATGGCATGTCACCAACACAGTGGCCTCTTGACCTCATATCCCTCCAGTTGGGGATTGCAGCCTTCCATCCTTTACCCCCCTCTGGAAGGCCAGTTATTGTGACATGTTGATAACATCACATAGAGAGCTAGCCTGGGTACCAGTCTGTTTGTGCTAACATTCCACTCCTTGTCATGCTATGTTTGTTATATGACACGGAGTACAAGGAGTGGAATGTTAACACAAAACAGGTCTGTATTTTAGGCATACAGAGATCTGCTTCTAGAGAAGTTGGCTCAGAGATAGAAGGAATTGTTGGAACGCAGGATGTAATGTTATAACCCATATCACCTAAGCACTCACCTCACCTGGGCTGTGACTACCGGGTACAGGAGAAGTACAGTCCACTGTTAAGACCTTAATGCTGTAACTCTGGTCCTAGACTGGACAACAGCAACAAGCAAACAAAGCAACCTCTCAACCCACAAGCAAGAGCATCTCATCACCTCATTTTATATTAACTGTATTTGTAGAAATGTGTAAATGCATATTGCGTGATGGTACCTACATTTGAAGGCTCCACCACCACATTGGTTGTGTACACCCATCTGCTTGAAAGCCAAGAGATTCCGAGTTGTCTGTTCACGTAATAGGAAGTTACCCTCCCTTGACCTGGAAGTAGATGTTATTGTGAGGTTTTTCCCAGGGCTTAATCAGTACGTTGCAGATATAAATGTAATGTATAGAGCTGACATGATGCTTTAGTTGACTAACAGAGAAGCATGTTAGTTCTGCACCATACATTTCTATCTAAATGTCTAATGTTGTGCTTTCCTGAATAAGCCCCTGGTTTGCCATAATTCAGCATGGTAAAGGAACTGATATGTAATGTCCCCTTGATATTGATACAATACTTAGCAGGTGTTCACCCAACTCAATGTCATTTTGAGACGTTATCTTTTATTTATTTTTTATTAAACTTCACACCGGAACTTTACCACATTGTATATAGTTTTAGAAAATCATGACAAGAAAAAACAACATCAAGGTTTTATCGTTTTTAAGATGTAATGCAACAAGGCCTTGAGAAAGTGATCTTGAAGATAAACAAGAAAATGGCAGAAAAAGTCTTGCCTGATTTATTTTCCTTCCCTCTCTGAGCTAGCTACTTCAAGCAGCCGTCCCGTCCTCCAGGATTTCAGTCCTACATGGTGCTCTTGTACTTTGGACCATGCTCTATAATGAGATACCCTGTCATTGAAACTGCAAGTGCGAGACCAGAGTCAATATTTGGCTTCTCGGGGGAATTGAGCTGATCATTTATCTATTGAGTTCAATAATATGTTGTCTAAAGGAGTGGTGTATGTTTGTCTGGGAGTGTTGTGTGTTAGGGGTTGAGTCAGCGAGTTCTCCATGTTGTCTTAGCCCCCCCCCCCACCCCACCCCTCACACAGAAACAAGCTGCATCGACAAACACAGGCAGGAGCACAGCTGGTACCACTAACCAGGCTTTGACAGTGACAGATGGAGAGGAGGGGTGGTGTGAGTGTGACAGCCTGTCCACTCTTCTCCCACTCACTGTTTCAGACAGACATAATACATGGAAGAGAGAGAATTCTCATAGACCTTCACTTCATATAGGGGTTAAGTCACTACTATCACCTCTGATTTGTAGCACCAGTGGTGGAAAAGGTACCCAGTTGTCATACTTGAGGAATAGTAAAGATAACTTAATAGAAAATGACTCAAGTAAAGGTGAGTCACCCTGTAAAATAGTACTTGAGTAAAAGTCTAAAAGTATTTTGTTTTAAATATACAGTGGGGGAAAAAAAGTATTTAGTCAGCCACCAATTGTGCAAGTTCTCCCACTTAAAAAGATGAGAGAGGCCTGTAATTTTCATCATAGGTACACGTCAACTATGACAGACAAAATGAGAAAAAAATTTCCAGAAAATCACATTGTAGGATTTTTAATGAATTTATTTGCAAATTATGGTGGAAAATAAATATTTGGTCAATAACAAAAGTTTCTCAATACTTTGTTATATACCCTTTGTTGGCAATGACACAGGTCAAACGTTTTCTGTAAGTCTTCACAAGGTTTTCACACACTGTTGCTGGTATTTTGGCCCATTCCTCCATGCAGATCTCCTCTAGAGCAGTGATGTTTTGGGGCTGTCGCTGGGCAACATGGACTTTCAACTCCCTCCAAAGATTTTCTATGGGGTTGAGATCTGGAGACTGGCTAGGCCACTCCAGGACCTTGAAATGCTTCTTACGAAGCCACTCCTTCGTTGCCCGGGCGGTGTGTTTGGGATCATTGTCATGCTGAAAGACCCAGCCACGTTTCATCTTCAATGCCCTTGCTGATGGAAGGAGGTTTTCACTCAAAATCTCACGATACATGGCCCCATTCATTCTTTCCTTTACACAGATCAGTCGTCCTGGTCCCTTTGCAGAAAAACAGCCCCAAAGCATGATGTTTCCACCCCCATGCTTCACAGTAGGTATGGTGTTCTTTGGATGCAACTCAGCATTTTTTGTCCTCCAAACACGACGAGTTGGGTTTTTACCAAAAAGTTCTATTTTGGTTTCATCTGACCATATGACATTCTCCCAATCCTCTTCTGGATCATCCAAATGCACTCTAGCAAACTTCAGACGGGCCTGGACATGTACTGGCTTAAGCAGGGGGACACGTCTCCACTGCAGGATTTGAGTCCCTGGTGGCGTAGTCTGTTACTGATGGTAGGCTTTGTTACTTTGGTCCCAGCTCTCTGCAGGTCATTCACTAGGTCCCCCCGTGTGGTTCTGGGATTTTTGCTCACCGTTCTTGTGATCATTTTTACTCCACGGGGTGAGATCTTGCGTGGAGCCCTAGATCGAGGGAGATTATCAGTGTTCTTGTATGTCTTCCATTTCCTAATAATTGCTCCCACAGTTGATTTCTTCAAACCAAGCTGCTTACCTATTGCAGATTCAGTCTTCCCAGCCTGGTGCAGGTCTACAATTTTGTTTCTGGTGTCCTTTGACAGCTCTTTGGTCTTGGCCATAGTGGAGTTTGGAGTGTGACTGTTTGAGGTTGTGGACAGGAGTCTTTTATACTGATAACAAGTTCAAACAGGTGCCATTAATACAGGTAACGAGTGGAGGACAGAGGAGCCTCTTAAAGAAGAAGTTACAGGTCTGTGAGAGCCAGAAATCTTGCTTGTTTGTAGGTGACCAAATACTTATTTTCCACCATAATTTGCAAATAAATTCATAAAAAATCCTACAATGTGATTTTCTGGAGAAAAAAATTCTCAATTTGTCTGTCATAGTTGACATGTACCTATGACGAAAATTACAGGCCTCTCTCATCTTTTTAAGTGGGAGAACTTGCACAATTGGTGGCTGACTAAATTCATTTTTTCCCCACTGTAGTTAAGTATCAAAAGTAAATGTAATTGCAAAAATGTACTTAAGTATCAAGTAAAAGTATAAAACATTTGAAATTGCTTATATTAAGCAAACCAGACGGCACAATTTTCTTGTTAATTTTTTAATTTACGGATAGCAAGGGGCACACTCCAACACTCAGGCATCATTTACAAACGAAGCATTTGTGTTTAGTGAGTCCGCCAGATCAGAGGCAGTAGGGATGACCAGGGATGTTCTTTTGATAAGTGTGTGAATTTGAGTACTTTTGGGTGTCAGAGAAAATGTATGGAGTAAAAAGTACATTATTTTCTTTAGCAATGTAGTGAAGTAAAAGTAGAAATGCATTTTCAACAGTCTTTAACGAGTTCCCACATATGCTGAGCACTTGTTGGCTGCTTTTCCTTCACTCTGCGGTCCGACTCATCCCAAACCATCTCAATTTGGTTGAGGTCAGGGGATTGTGGAGGCCAGGTCATCTGATGCAGCACTCCATCACTCTCCTTCTTGGTAAAATAGCCCTTACACAGCCTGGAGGTGTGTTGGGTCATTGTCCGGTTGAAAAACAAATAAGCCCAAACCAGATGGGATGGCGTATTGCTGCAGAATGCTGTGGTAGCCATGCTGGTTTAGTGTGCCTTGAATACTAAATAAATCACAGACAGTGTCACCAGCAAAGCACCCCCACACCATAACACCTCCTCCTCCATGGTTTACAGTGGGAAATACACATGCAGCGATCATCCGTTCACCCACAACACGTCTCACAAAGACACGGCGGTTGGAACCAAAAATCTCAAATTTGGACTCCAGACCAAAGGACACATTTCCACTGGTCTAATGTCCATTGCACGATGAGACAAGGTCAAACAGGTGCCAATAATACAGGTAACGAGTGGAGGACAGAGGAGCCTCTTAAAGAAGAAGTTACAGGTCTGTGAGAGCCAGAAATCTTGCTTGTTTGTAGGTGACCAAATACTTATTTTCCACCATAATTTGCAAATAAATTCATTAAAAATCCTACAATGTGATTTTCTGGAAATTGTTTTCTCATTTTGTCTGTCATAGTTGACGTGTACCTATGATGAAAATTACAGGCCTCTCTCATCTTTTTAAGTGGGAGAACTTGCACAATTGGTGGCTGACTAAATACCTTTTTCCCCCACTGTATAGTGAGGGAATTAAGTATTTGATCCCCTGCTGATTTTGTACGTTTGCCCACTGACAAAGACATGATCAGTCTATAATTTTAATGGTAGGTTTATTTGAACAGTGAGAGACAGAATAACAACAAAAAAATCCAGAAAGAAACGCATGTCAAAAATGTTACAAATTTATTTGCATTTTAATGAGGGAAATAAGTATTTGACCCCTCTGCAAAACATGACTTAGTACTTGGTGGCAAAACCCTTGTTGGCAATCACAGAGGTCAGACATTTCTTGTAGTTGGCCACCAGGTTTGCACACATCTCAGGAAGCATAATGTTTTCACCTCCATGTTTGATGGTGGGGATGGTGTTCTTAGGGTCATAGGCAGCATTCTTCCTCCTCCAAACGCGGCGAGTTGAGTTGATGCCAAAGAGCTCCATTTTGGTCTCATTTGACCACAACACTTTCACCCAGTTCTCCTCTGAATCATTCAGATGTTCATTGGCAAACTTCAGACGGCCCTGTAAATGTGCTCTCTTGAGCAGGGGGACCTTGTGGGCACTGCAGGATTTCAGTCCTTCACGGTGTAGTGTGTTAACAATTGTTTTCTTGGTGACTATGGTCCCAGCTGCCTTGAGATCATTGACAAGATCCTCCCGTGTAGTTCTGGGCTGATTCCTCACCGTTCTCATGATCATTGCAACTCCACGAGGTGAGATCTTGCATGGAGCCCCAGGCCGAGGGAGATTGACAGTTATTTTGTGTTTCTTCCATTTGCGAATAATCGCACCAACTGTTGTCACCTTCTCACCAAGCTGCTTGGCGATGGTCTTGTAGCCCATTCCAGCCTTGTGTAGGTCTACAATCTTGTCCCTGACATCCTTGGAGAGCTCTTTGGTCTTGGCCAAGGTGGAGAGTTTGGAATCTGATTGATTGATTGATTGCTTCTGTGGACAGGTGTCTTTTATACAGGTAACAAGCTGAGATTAGGAGCACTCCCTTTAAGAGTGTGCTCCTAATCTCAGCTCGTTACCTGTATAAAAGACACCTGGGAGCCAGAAATCTTTCTGATTGAGAGGGGGTCAAATACTTATAACATTTTTGACATGCGTTTTTGTGGATTTTTTTGTTGTTATTCTGTCTCTCACTGTTCAAATAAACCTTCCATTAAAAATTATAGACTGATCATTTCTTTGTCAGTGGGCAAACGTACAAAATCAGCAGGGGATCAAATACTTTTTTCCCACACTGTATAAGCAGACAATGAAAGCTCTTACAATATTCGATGATGACATTTCTCTAAAACAGGCTATAGGCTACATGTGCACCACCAAGTCAGAACAGTAGGCGAAATTAGGAAAGGGACCAAATTATTAGGGTGAGGCACATGGGCTACTAACAGCTTACTACACAGCATACACTTAGTATTACTTTCTTGGCGACAGTATACATATCTCCCTGGCATATTACATCATTTATGCAGCAGCATACAATACATTTTTGGACTCAGCTTGTTGTGCTGTGCTCACTTGAACAGAAGGGTGGCGCGGCGGTCCTTCTTGTGGGCTCTAGAAAGAGGCACGAGTTCCCGATTTGGAATTCCGAGTTGGATGACCGTTCAAAATTATTTTCAGAGTTCACAGTCTTGAACTCACTGATGTCTGAGATTTCCCAGTTCCGAGTTTCCAGTTGTTTTGAACGCGGCAGAAGTCATGCTGGGTTGACAGCATGGCCAATGTATTCAAACTTTACCAATTGGATATCACGAAATAAATGTATTATATTTATATAGAGCACGATGAGACAAGGAAATCCCGGCCGGCCAAACCCTCCCCTAACCTGGACGACGCTGTGCCAATTGTGCGCTGTCCCATCCGGTCTCCCGGTCACGGCCGGCTGTGACACAGCCTGGGATCAAACCAGAGGCTGCAGTCGCTCCTCAGCACTCATTGTTGAATTTGCGATTTCCAACTTGTGTAAAGTTTATGTCCAATGGCCGATGAGCACCAACACGTTTTATCGATAATTTCTCTTCATATGACAAGGATTGAAAAGGATTCGCTAGTAGATTGTCGACTTGATTCTTGATGATGACTGATTGTCTGGCTTTCAAGCTAAGATCTTAAAAGTATGGTGTTGACATGATCAGTCCAATCAAAGCTATGGTAGATATAACGGGATTTGACATCATTTTATCTGTGGCCAATGACCTTGAGCCTTCTTGGATGGGCACTTCTAATGTAAGTCTATGGCAGCACCCAGGGGGCTTGAATTTTCTAGCTCTACCAGTAGATTTTGCGGTGAGGTAGTGTCCCCATGAGTGACAGAAGACTGAGCCAATCACGGCGCATCTAGAGAACATCACCAACCCCTACACTCCGTATTTTCCGCAGGCTGCTCCACCACCACAGAAAGCACTGAGCTAGGCTGAATCACCTGCATTTTGGAGCTGCATTCCTAAAGAAAACAAAAAATAAAGTGAGATACCTAGTCAGTTGTACAACTGAATGCATTCAACTGAAATGTGCCTTCCGCATTTAACCCAACCCCTGTGAATCAGAGAGGTGTGGAGGGCTGCCTTAATCGACATCCCCGGCAACAGTGGGTTAACTGCCTTGCTCAGGGGCAGAAGGACAGATTTTTAGCTTGTCAGCTCGGGGATTCGATCCAGCAATCTTTCGGTTAATACCGGCCAGGCTACCTGCTGAGACCATGTTTTTATGCAGCTTTATTAACTCAATGATTTTTGTTTTTATTTTTTGATTGTTTGCAAACTGATATGTGACACGTATTAATGCCAAAATAACATGCAAAACCTTCCCTGAATGACAGGTCGCCACTGCATGGCTGTGTGTGTGGCTGAAATAGCCGAATCCACTAATTTGAAGGGGTGTCCACATACTTTTGTATGTATAGTGTATATGGAATAGTCTTGAGTTCATTGATTTCATTTGCGCAATTGACAAGTCTTGCCATTTGGATCATAGAAGAGGGCATAGGCCTGCTACAATCATATTGCTGATTACAGGTTTTAAAACGACAGATTTGTAGAAGAGATTTAGCCTCTACCCCCGGCATATTCATACAGTAATTTCAACTCCTGGTTATAAATGTTGGTGTGCTTTTATTTTCCGTTTCTTTCCACAAATCCACTGTGACGCTTGATTGATAATATAAATCCAAGCGAAGATTGTTTACAGCTTTGAAGTGCAAGATCGGACTGAACTCCGCACGACTCCTCCTTTTCCCACAATGCATCGCGCGCGAGCCTGAGTCCGCTGGCTGTGGTGCTGAAACGGCGTGCGGGGGGCTCGAGCGCAGACACACAATCAAAGGCATCCTCTCGCGCGATGGTCAAAAATAGATAGAAGAAGAGGGCTTTTAATTCAGGAATCCAAGCCAATTATTTGTTATTTTTATATAATATACAATTTACGGTAGTCTGAATTTGTGTAAGCTGTTTTGATAGCTTATAGCCTATTTGTGCGGTGCGTGCTAGGTTTTTAGACAGCCCTCTCACTATATTATCTCGCTCTCATCTTTATTGTTGTTGCCTACCAGTCTGGCGCATTCTTTATGCACAGCACGCTGCTCCAGTCCACTCCGAGAAAATAGACCTTCGCGTCGGAACAGCATGGCCCGGTCCAGTCGCGCCCACTGAGAGAGATGGAAGCCAAGCAGCACTCCATAAAGAGCCTGAAGAGCTACCCAGAGGCGGGGGGCCGGAGCCTTGCGGCGGCGGCGGGAGACGTCGGCGTTGGAGGGTCTCGTGCCGGCTCCGCACAGATGGAGATGGAGGCAAACATACAGAAAGCCATTGACTTCAAGGTGGAGGGCCACCGCTGCTACAAGGAGAAGAAATTCCGGGAAGCGATAGGGAAGTACCACCGGGCTCTGCTGCAGCTGAAAGGGGTACATTTAGTGGATGGAAGTACGGGCTCCGAGGTCAACCTCCTGAGCCAAGCCGCGGTCAAGCTTACGGAGGAGCAGCGGAGAACCGTGGAGATCACGGAGATCGAGTGCTACGACAGCCTGACAGGTGAGTAACGTTAGCTAGCCTAGTCGGTGTTGTTGCTCAGCGTCGCGGGTCCACGCAACGGAGGAGACCCCCGCTCTTGAGGTTCTTGAGCATGGACAGCTCGTATGCTGAGATTGAACCACTGCTGCCATTGTTCGTTCCGGTTCACGGGGTTAGGAAGGAACTAGTTTAGACAATTAGCCAGTGTCAAGCATAATTTCCGCTGCTGTGAAGCCTGTATGGGGTTGGTTAATAAGAATAGACTTAATAATACATCCATTGCGCTTTGCACAATGGACAGCACCATGGTGCTGAATATAGACGGGGAGATGGCGAATGTGTCCATATTTTTAATTGTGTGATATACCTGTAATTTCAACGTGAAATGTATTGCCAATCTCGATTAAAGGTCCAATGCAGCCATTTTTATCTCAATATCAAATCATTTCTGGTTAACAATTAAGTACCTTACTGTGATTGTTTTCAATTTAAAAAAGAAATAAAAAATAGCTTCTTAGCATAGAGCAATTTCTCAAGCAAGAATTTTGCTATGACAGTCTGGGAGTGGTTTGACTGGGGTGGAAAAAACAGAATACTAGCTGTTATTGGCAGAGAGGTTTGGAACTCTCTTTCTTATTGGTCTATTAACTAATTTACCGCCTAGTGATGTCACCAGCCAGGCCAAAACTCTATCCCACCAAAACAGGCTGAAATTTCAGGCAGTCTTTTTGAAAAGCTCTTACACTAAAAGGGCATTATCATTTTCAAAATGTCACAGTATTATTCCAACCTCATAGTGTGGAAATATATATAAAACACAGGAAAATTACGTTTTTGACTGCACTGGGCCCTAATCATTATTTTATTAGTAACCTGAACACAGGTTAATTATAATACCATATCGTTTGTGTGCTAGACTCGTTTTTGCCTCAAGCCATGTCTTCCTCTTGTGATTCTTATCAAGGTTTTTTTTCACTGTCTCTCTATTTGTTGTGCTCCATTCAAGTTAATTTTTGCTTCTCTTGATTCTAAACCTTCTCCCCAGTTAATTCCTTTTAATAGCCACGGGGGAAACCAGTGATTTGATAGTGATCAGCTGTAGTCAGTGGAAATGTTATATTAGCAGGAGTGGAGAGGTGTACATCCTGTGGAAAAGGGACACAAATACACACAGTGGGAGCCTGGGGTTATATGCTGCCATTTCATCCAACACATGATGCCTCCCACAGTGCAGCTGTGTTGTTACAAAAACAGTTCACGTGCTCTGAGGTGGAAAAACATGGTGCGGACCATCCCAATTTTCATGGATCCTAAAATTACCTCACAAATACAAGTAATACGGCACTATGGCTGCGTTTACACAGGCAGCCCAATTCTGATATTTTACCCAATTATTGACAAAAGAGCTGATCTGATTGGTCAAAAGACCAATTAGTGAAGAAATATCAGAATGGGGCTGCCTGTGTAAACGCAGCCAGTGATTTGAAACTCACAGCACTTTGTATGGTTAGAATAATTGACAATATTAGGAGTATTTTCTGGTCAGCATCGTCATGTCTGGTCATCAAGGTTAAGCTCTCTATCAAACCAACCACAAGTGTCAGTTAAATAGGCTATGTATGTGTAATGTAATTCGAAAAGATAAACTGATATCTTACTCAGATAAACTTAATATCTCTAACAATGAGATTTGAGTAAAGCTGAGCTTACAGATATTTGTTATTGGTAATTATTTGAGTAAGAAATAGGATAATCTATTCAACAGATGTGAGTGTAAGAGATTGTCTACTGCCAGATAATCTATGAAACAGATGTATGAGATTTGATTCTAACAGATACAGTGGTCTGTCTGGCAAATGTGAGTTGGCCTATAGGAGATTAGATGCGTCTGTGGGTCTAATGATGACAGGATAAAATATTGTTTACCACTGTGACAGTAGTCTGTCTACATGGGAGTATGGCTAAGATGTTACGTAATGCATTGTGAGATCTATTTGGTGAGTGATATACTATGATATACTTTATGGTGCTGTCTTGTTCATTTTGTTGACTATCTACGAGGATTCAGCACCCCTATTATTTAGAAGAATCTCTGATTCAGCATGCCATTTTCACTATAAGATATTCTAAAAAAACGGTTAACGTGAAACATAAAATGGGTTAAAGGCAGGTTGGGTTGCTGTGGTGCTGGCAGTGTCTCTCTGTGTTCTGGCTCCGCTGGGTCCTGGCTCAACTGGCGTGACAGGCTGAAGGTCGGCTCTCTCTGCCCCGTCTTATGACCCTCTGTCTGGGCCCTGTGGGGGAGCTACCCTGGCGTGAAGGAGAAATAGAGAGGGAGGGAGGGGGATGGAAAGAGAGGTTAAAAGAAAGAAGGGGAGAATAGAGGAAAATAGGAGGTTAAAAGACATAGGGAGTGTAAACGAGAGCGAGAGAGAGAAGAAGAAAGATAAAAGGAGGAGGGAAAGCGAGTTCAGTGGGTGATGGGGGCATATTTACCATGGCAACCATCACTGGGCCTTTTCCTGTTGTTATTCTCGTGTCCATCACCTCATTCCGCTCTCACTTCTCACAATAACAAAGACCCATACACACAGGGATTGTTGGATATTTTGGGACCTCTCCCTCATTCTCAGTGTTTTATTTTAGAATAAAAATACATTATTCAAACACATTTCATAAGACTGGAGACCTCTCCACTCTACCAACGGTCTGGCTAGCCAGAGTCTTGCTGGACAGAAGGTGGCCCCTGTGGTGATGAGTGAGGCAGCGTTTTGATTGGCCAGCTGTCTTAGTCTCTGACGCATGATACAGGGGCAACAGAGTGGACAGCCTCACCACCAGCGCTTCTGTGTGTGTGTGTGTGTGAGTGTGTGTGTGTCTGTGTGCGTGTGCGTGATTCTGTTTGTCTCAGCAATCGTACCTCTGAAGAACAGCAGCTAACCAAGGGGGTGTCTGATATGGAGGAGGGTGGGGGTGCATAGCTTGCTTCTCGCCCTGCCATTACCACAGTGCCCATGCTGACATTGCTGTGTGTGTGTTGTCTGTTTTTTGTAGATGTATGTGCAAGCTTATTTTGTGTGTGTGTGTGTGTGTGCGTGCTTGACTTTTGTTGTGACAAGGACAGTCTTTCCTCCCTATTGTGTGTCTTGTGCCAGTCACAACTCCTTTTTAAATGACATGGCTACCCAACAAAAGCGGCCCAGAGGTTTTCACTAAATACAGTGATTTTGCCGTAAGCATGGCGCAGACAGGGATTGTGTTTGTTACTGAGATTCAAGACAGGAGAGAAGCCGACATCAAAGGAGACAAGTATTGATAGAAAGAGACAGAAGAAACTGTGAGAGAATGACAACAAAATAAAGAACTGCAGAGAGAGAGAGAGAGAGAGAGAGAGAGAGAGAGAGAGAGAGAGAGAAGAGAGAGAGAGAGAGGAGAGGAGAGAGAAGGAGAGAGAGAGAAGGACAGAGATGGGAGAGAGAGAGATGAGAGAGAGAGGAGAGAGAGAGAGAGAGAGAGAGAGAGGTGCATACAGTGTTGTTACCTGATTCTGTCTGAGAGAGAGCCATTGAGATTAATGGTCTACAGTGGCTTGCGAAAGTATTTTTCCTATTTTGTTACCTTACAACCTGGAATTAAAATAGATTTTTGGGGGGCTTGTATCATTTCATTTACACAACATGCCTACCATTTGAAGATGCAAAATAAAAAATTTTGTAAAACAAACTAGAAATAAGACAAAAAAACAGAACTTGAGCGTGCATAGTTATTCACCCCCCCCCCAAAGTCAAAACTTTGTAGAGCCACCTTTTGCAGCAATTACAGCTGCAAGTCTCTTGGGGTATGTCTCTATAAGCTTGGCACATCTAGCCACTGGGACTTTTGCCCATTCTTCAAGGCAAAACTGCTCCAGCTCCTTCAAGTTGGATGGGTTCCGCTGGTGTACAGCAATCTTTAAGTCATACCACAGATTCTCAATTGGATTGAGGTCTGGGCTTTGACTAGGCCATTCCAAGACATTTAAATGTTTCCCCTTAAACCACTCAAGTCTTGCTTTAGCAGTATACACTTCCCTTGACTTGCAAAGGGGGTGAATACATATGCACGCACCATTGTCCTGCTGGAAGGTGAACCTCCTTCCCAGTCTCAAATCTCTGGAAGACTGAAACAGGTTTCCCTCAAGAATTTCCCTGTATTTAGCGCCATCCATCATTCCTTCAATTCTGACCAGTTTCCCAGTCCCTGCCGATGAAAAACATCCCCACAGCATGATGCTGCCACCACCATGCTTCACTGTGGGATGGTGTTCTCGGGGTGATGAGAGGTATTGGGTTTGCACCAGACATAGCGTTTTCCTTGATGGCCAAAAAGCTCAATTTTAGTCTCATCTGACCAGAGTACCTTCTTAAATATGTTTGGGGAGTCTCCCACATGCCTTTTAGCGAACACCAAACATGTTTTCTTATTTTTTTCTTTAAGCAATGGCTTTTTTCTGGCCACTCTTCCATAAAGCCCAGCTCTGTGGAGTGTACGGCTTAAAGTGTTCCTATGGACAGATACTCCAATCTCCGCTGTGGAGCTTTGCAGCTCCTTCAGGGTTATCTTTGGTCTCTTTGTTGCCTCTCTGATTAATGCCCTCCTTGCCTGGTCCGTGAGTTTTGGTGGGCGGCCCTCTCTTGGCAGGTTTGTTGTGGTGCAATATTCTTTCCATTTTTTAATAATGGATTTAATGGTGCTCCATGGGATGTTCAAAGTGTCTGATATTTTTTTATAACCCAACCCTGATCTGTACTTCTCCACAACTTTGTCCCTGACCTGTTTGGAGAGCTCCTTGGTCTTCATGGTGCCGCTTGCTTAGTGGTGCCCCTTGCTTAGTGGTGTTGCAGACTCTGGGGCCTTTCAGAACAGGTGTGTTTATATATACTGAGATCATGTGACACTTAGATTGCACACAGGTGGACTTTATTTAACTAATTATGTGACTTCTGAAGGTAATTGGTTGCACCAGATCTTATTTAGGGGCTTCATAGCAAAGGGGGTGAATACATATGCACGCACCACTTTTCCGTTATTGATTTTTTCGATTCCACTTTACCAATTTGGACTGTTTTGTGTATGTCCATTACATGAAATCCAAATAAAAATCCATTTAAATTACAGATTGTAATGCAACAAAATAGGACAAATGCCAAGGGGGATGAATACCTTTGCAAGGCACTGTATTTGTCATCGTCCTTGTTAAAAGAGCCAAAATGCTGTTTCCCCATGGGGCTGTGGGACTGTGTCTAAGTGGGTTACACCAGGCAGTCTGTCTGTAGCCACTCTGTAAATGGTGCTGCAACATGTTGGCCAGAGGGAGACTGTCAGCCACGCAGGTTGACGATTTTGGGATGAATCATGTTCTGCAGACAGCACACACCCACCCAAACCACATACTGTGCTCACAGATACATATGATAACAGCCAATATACTAACAGTTTTTCCACTGTTCTGTTCATACATGGCACTCAAAGCACTTCCCAAAAATGAGACCCTATGAGCAAAAGACGTTGAAAAGGCGTGGAAAACACGTCTTTTCAACGTTTTGTGCTCACTGGGGAGGAAGAATATAAAACAGCAGGAAGCAGTTGCTGGATTATTAGATCATTTGAGACAATACAGATTGCTTATTCAGATAAAGAGAAATGTTCTGTAGAGCACAGACGTCAATGTAAAAAAATTGAGTCAGGTCCAAACTCCTTTTGTGAGGGAGATTGAACCATCTTTTCCTTGGCCCATTTCCTCTGATCTCTGACTCAATTATTCCTTTGTTCCGTGTGATTGGCTCGATCAGTGCGCGAGTCATGAGTCACAGCCTTGGGTTGCAGCAGTAGCAGCGGCACAACGTCATGAGCGGAACCGCTTGTTTCGTAACACCCAACACCTTTTATACACCGTTCTCGAATGCTCTTCTTACTGCTATGATGATCCAGAAACTTCCACCCACTTGTGTGTGTGTGTGTGTGTGTGTGTGTGTGTGTGTGTGTGTGTGTGAGCTGTACCACTCAGCAGCAGATCCATCCATAGCCCTTTCAGGAGACTGGCTTTCTTTTAGACACAATGCATTAAGCCAAAGAGCTGCGATGAGGGCATGGTTTAGACTGTGTATTATTTCATTGATGTCCATTAACATTTTGCTGTGGTATGTTTATACTAATCCATGAGGCTCCTAGAATGCTCATGGGGTTCATTTACAACTAACTGGAGGTAGTGGGTGTATCAACACGACCTCCATTAGCTCCATCACTGGCCAGTGTGTGTGCGTGCGTGTGTGTGTGTGTGTGTGTGTGTGTGTGTGTGTGTGTGTACGCATGCATGTGTGTATCCGTGACTGATGCAAAGGGTCAATATTTCTCACCACATCCATTGCCACTCAGGGCTATTACGTTGAGGCCATCGATGAACTCGTGACCCTTGACTTGCAATTACAGGCCCCCATAGTAACGAGACTTCAATGAGCGTGTAGATACAGTATCATCAGCATCTGTTTCTCCCCAGACAAGGAATAGACAACCAACAGTCTTAGAATAATTAGATAAAAGTCAATTAACTGGGAGTTCCATTTGGCTCCCAGTGCCGCTACACTTCCCCAACAATCTTTAGATTTATGACATCACTCTCTAATCTTAATCTCATTCCAGAAGGGAACGGGGGTATAATACTGTCAGAGGATGCGCCAAAATGGCACCCTGTTCCCTATATAGTGCACTACTTTTGACCAGGTCAAAAATAGTGCACTATATAGGGAATAGGGTGCCATCTAGGACACAGACTTAGTCCTCAGTGCTATATAATACTGCAGAGGGGGTGCTATCTATCACGAGGCCTAGCCTACTATACAGTCCAGTCAGCCCCCTCTTATAAAACCAGAGTGGAGCAGGGAAAACACCTCCCTTTCACCCACTGCCAATAACGTCACTAGAGGAGGAGATGAAGGGGGAAGAGGGAGAGCGAGGGAGAGACAGGGGGAATGAGGTGTATGGGAGAAGAGGAGGAGGGTGTAGGGGAAAGTATTCTGTATGGGGAGGGAGAAGGGAGTTGAAGGGAAATGCGAGGGTGAATTATTTGGGGGAGGAGGAGAGAGAAAGGTGAGGGTGAAAAGGAGGAATGAAGGATGGTGTTTTGCCTTGGTTCGTATGTTGGCTGTTCCGGGGTTGCGTGGTTGGGCGCGTTATGCCAGGTCTGCAGATGGCATGGCATCACTGTGGGGGCTCGACTGGGCACACTGTACTCTCCTCTTTACCGTTCCATTGCAGCCAAGAGAGAGGGAACGAGAGAGAGAGAAAGAGAGAAAGGGAGTGGGTCAGGGAGCCAAGAGAAGGTGCGCTTTGCGTGAAGAGGGGGAGGGTGTGGGAAAGAGAGCCAGAGAAACTGGACAGGGTGTTAAGGGAACTGTTAAATATGAAGGGATTAGAAGAGAGAGATGGAGAGAGAGAGGGGGAAGAAAAGAGTGAGGTGACTTTGGTGGACCTTTTTGACCTCTGGGAGGAGGCGGGAGTATGTTACATCGTTCTTCGTTGCTGCATTTGCTTATCATTTTTCATTGTAAGTATGGTGATGAGAAATCCCATCCAAGGCTAACGGTATTATATCATTGCCCTGGCAGAGCTAGAGTGATCTTGTCATGGCAGTAAATAAGATCCAGTCATCTGCAAAGGAGGGAGGGAGGGCCTTTTTTAGTACTCAGTTGAAAGTCACACCATTAGCTTAGAGGAAACTGAAACAGATGCCCTCTCTGTCACTCTGAGAGAGAGAGAGAGTTTTTATAAAACCTTTATTTTATACTCAAGTGTTAACACAAATAATGGCACACTGCCTTTTCAAAAATGAAACAACAAATGTCATTCCTAAATAAAAATGAAAACAAAAATATATACATTCAACTCATTTCATCAACAAAAAA